AAAGCTATGCTGATGCCTAAAAACTGCTGTGAAAATTTTGTAGATGAAGAATAACACAGCGCTAAAGACAGGACAAGAGACACAGACAAGGCGCTGGCAATCATCTTGCCCTGTCTTCAGCGCTACTTCAGTCTTCGTCTACAAAAATATGTACCAACCAGTCCCGTCAAGCACACTGTTTTGAAAAAAAAAAAAAAGTTGATAAATGAACAAATTTCAGTACAAGTCTTATTTATTTATTTTACATGTGCTAATACAAAAAGTCGCATTAGCACATGCAATATTACGAGGCAGAAGTGTATAATTGCACCAGGTAGCACACCAAATGAATGGTACAAGTGAGCAGTCGAAGGTCCACCCATCACAAAGTGCTAAGGCATAATTGACCATCATCAAAAAGGATGTGCAGCTGCGCACATTGCTTTACTAATGCACAGTGGGCACTCTGCAATTGCACTTCTAAAGGTCAATGTTACACAAACAAGCAGTCCTTTTCTGAAAACATCGTTCAGGTATTCACCGAGAAGCTAATCATGGCAACACAACGATATACAAAAAAATTCAAAGTAGACGTCGGGGTGCAAGTAATATGAGAAGTTCGGAGCAGAAGCTACCTTCACAGCACTACTACACAGTAATGCAAGAAAGGCAACATCACCGCAATGGGAGGGGATTCTATTTTCTTAGGAGGAACAAGATGAGAGCAGAGTGCGTGAAGAAATTAACGGGTGTTAAGGACGTCATAGTCCAAGTAGAGAAGAAGAAATGGTCATGGGAACATGACGCGAAGGCAAGATAACCGCTGGTAATTAAGGATTACAAACTGGATTCCCAGAGAAGGCAAGTGGTTGAAGGGGAGACAGAAAGTTAAGTGGGCAGATGAGATTAAGAAGTTTGCAGGTATAAAGTGGTAGCAGCAAGCACTGGACGCAGTTGACAGGTGGAACATGGTAGAAGCCTTTGTCCTGCAGTGGGCATAGTCAGGCTAATGATGATGATTTCTTCGCAGTTTGCAATTGGTTGGTGCTCGTTATATGCAGGGCGGCTTATACACAAGAAAGCAAGGTATGTATGTACAAATGTACGGTATAAACCGGACTATAGGTCAAGTGGGAATATAGGTCGACCCCCCAAGTTCAGGTTACCAAAAAAAGAAAAAAAAAGAAAAAAAAAGAAAAAAAAGAAAACAACCCAAAACTGGTGAACCACATTTATTTACGAATTGAGCGCATCACACCCCGATCGTCGGAGCTCCCCTCAATCACCATCGCAACTGCTCCTGTTCGTCCGACGAAGCACCACTGTCTTCTGAAGACGAGAGTTTGTCGCTGGCCGCCTCCCACAGTGCGTCGTCTTCAGTGCTATCCAGCGAGTTGCTGATGCAATCTTTCTTGAAAGCATTTTCCACCATGGAATCCGGCAAAGAATGCTAGGCAGAAAGCACCCAGCCATAAACAGTCGCAAGCAGAGGCCTCTGTAAGCGGCCCGTCGGTGTCTAGGGATAGTCGCCGGACATCCACTCTTGGTATTCCAGCCGCACTCGGTCTTGGAACGACTTGTTTAGCACAACGTCGAGTGGCTGTAGGGTGGACGTCATACCATTTGGTATCACGGCAAGGTCCGTTTTCCCGTCGCCGAGTGCGCATTTCACTGCGTCGGTTAAGTGGCCACGATACGCATCCAACACCAGCATGCTGCGAAGACGCAGCAGTGCACCTGGCCGACGTTTCAACACCACTCTTATCCATTCGAGCATCATGGCCTCGTCCATGTATCCCTTTTTGTTGACGTGAACGACAACACCGGGCGGGAACACTTCCTTCGGCATTGTCTTGTGTTTGAAAATGATGAAGCGCGGCAGCTTTCTACCATCTGCCGTGCATGCCAGCATGGCGGTGAAGCCCGAGTGCTCGTTGCCAGTAGACGACAGCTTCGCATCCTCGGCGCCGCCCTGCCTGGAATTACAATAGGTATGATGTTGTGAGAGGAATATGGAAAGGGGTCATGGTGCCTGAGCTGACGTTCGGCAATGCGGTCTTATGCATGAGGTCAGAAGTTCAAGCAAGATTAGAAATTAAGCAACGTGGATTAGGTAGGCTTGCTTTAGGAGCTCACGGGAATACACCAAATCAGGGAGTACAAGGTGATATGGGATGGACATCATTTGAGGTCAGGGAAGCTAGCAGCAGGATAAAATTTGAGAAGCGATTGAGAGAAATGGGGGAGGAGCGTTGGGCTAGGAAGGTTTTCAGCTACTGGTATATGAAGAAAGTCGATACAAAATGGAGGAAGCGAACCAGGGAATTCACTGGTAAATACTTAGAAAACAGCAGGTGGCCAAACCAAAAAGAACTAACGGTTAAGAAGAAAGTGAAGGAAACAGAGACTGACATGTGGAGAATCGGCATGATTAAGAAGTCCGCACTAAAGATCTATCAAACTTTTAAGCAGGAAATTGCCAAAGAAAGGATCTATGATAATACTCGGGGTAATTCTCTACTGTTTGAGGCCAGAACGGGAGTACTGCGAACCAAGACATATCGGGCCAAATACGAAGGGGTAGACACAGTATGCAGTGCGTGTGGAGAGGAAGAAGAAACTGCGGAACACTTGATAATGTTCGGTAAAGGGCTTCACCCTATAGTTCAGGATGATGGCGTAGAGTTTTTCAAAGCACTGGGGTTTAGGGACAGAGAGGGCAAAATAGACTTTAAGCGGGTAGACTTAACTAGAAGGAGGTTATCTGATTGGTGGCTAAAGTCAAGGCACGAGTGAAAATTAAACCCTTCACTGCAAAGTACCCATCCAACTTTACTAGTTAAAGAAAAAAAAAGATAAATCTAGTGGTTAGTTCACTAATTATTACGGCTAGGTGGCGTTAGCCGCCGCCCGATCTAAAGGGTACAGCCACATCCATCTATCCATCCATCCGACGAAGACATGTCAAACCACACGGGGGTCTCATCGGCGTTGCCAATCTGCCCCATCATGTAGTCATTCTGCTCCCGAAGCCGGTTCACGAAGCGCTGAAAGTTTATGAGCTTGTCCTCGAACTCCACCGGCAACTTTTGACAGATAGATGTGCGCCACCAGGGAGAAAATCCTTTGCGTCGCATAAATCGACGCACCCAAGAGTTTGGGGCACGAAACTCTTCTCTCGAAAGCCCAGCTTCTCGAGCGAGTTCCATGGCTTTCTTGCGAACAGTATCCACGATCACTGGCAGCTAGCGCACGCGAACTTCCCGCACAAAGTCCGCTAGCTTATCCTCCAGCTGCGGATGAATGGCCCTTCGTCCACAAAACGACATTTTTAGAGCATTGCACATCTGCAGCTTCCCCCGCCCTCCAATAGCACACGTTTTTTTCCGATACACCAGAATGGTACTGAACAGCCATATTCCCGTTCGCTTCTGCAAACTCAACAACATCTAGCTTTAACGCAGCTGAGTACTGCCTCCTCGCACAGCTACTCATATTCAGTGAAAGAAAAAAAAAGACCACTAAAAATGCAGCACAATGTTAAGCAGAGCGAAAACTCAGAACTGATTGGAAGCAAATCACGAACAGAAAGAAAACAGACGGAGATAAAAAACAACCTGCGATTGTATTTGGATGCGGATATGGCCGCATCCGGCTTCTCAAGCACATGCAAGCCACATGTTGCCAGACAGCGTCGCACTTTCGGCTAGACACCACTATTTAAGACGAGGGGCGCTTTTAGCTTACTATTTTATTGAATATATCTCGACATATTCCAGTTTATACGGTATATATCTAGTTGAGCACTGTAACTGCTACACCACCACAGCGGATGGTATGGACACATATACGACTGTTTCACTGCAACACAAGTAGGTTGCACCGGGTCATATTTAAGAGAGCTTCCAATGATTCTAACAAAACCGTGGAGTATCTTCAAATTTTATTTATCGATAGCGGGCTATCGATAGGTAGACGGCTATCGATAGCCTAGTATACAAGAAATGCTCCACTACTCTCACTTATTTTCATAAAACACATACCATGAGTAGATCAGTGAATTCAACAAGGTACATCTCATATAGATGATGAATAAAGCAGGAGGGTGCGAATATTTGAGTTTCAAATTGAATAATACCTTACTGAATGATTCAATAAGACTTTCAAATACCTAACATTTGAAGTTTAGAATAATTTGATTGGATGATTATCTAAAGCTCAACAAAGTCCAATGGGGCAACCTGGTTACAGTGGGATGGCTGATTCTAACGTTACATCGGTAGAGAAGGCATCTTATTAAAAGTTGCACTGATTTTACAGAAGATGACATAATTTCTGCACAAACTTTCATGCCCTTCCCAGCATCACTTCCCAAATGAAGGCACAGACTTCTTGTGAAGCTTGGTTCAATAAAGCTACTACTACACCGTACCACTCTTTCAGGCACTCCGATCGCTCCAGTTTGAGTAAAAACACTGTGGTGAACCAGCGTCCCAAGATTATTAGGCCCGGAGCACCCATGGCATCAGATGAGCCGTGAGAAAAAAAGAAAAACTAGCTACCGCACTCCCTATTGTGAGCAGTTCAGAAATTAGGAATGGCGCTGCTGACTAAAATGACTGCTCTTACGCTTTCATGCCATAAAAAGCTGAAAATAAATAGGAAAATAAAACAAGCGTATAATAAACCTATCAGCCTGCTGTAGTGTCCCTCAATTTTTCTTTTGTCTTGCTGACTGTAACTAGTGCTACTAGAGTGAAGTAAAAGTACTATTCGATATTTTTGGTGACTATTCGACACTATTCAATTCGAACTCGAGAGATCAAGTTTCACTATTCCCTCAACCCTAGAATAAAAACCTTCATGCGAACAATGCACTCATTCGAAAAACTGAAACATCCTAAAATTTTTTAAACCTTTTATATTATGGTCAAAATTTCTTGCAACATACTCTTTTTTCACTGTGACAAAAAAAAAAACACGGGCACAACACTTTCAATGCAAGCAAAGTCCGTGCTCACCAAAGACAACAGGATCCCGTATGGTGTATGCCATGAGGCACTTGGAGGGGTCGAAGATAAGCGAGTTGTTGAAATTCGTTGTGACGCGCTCAATGAGCTTTGGGTCCCGTGTTGGTAGGTCCACACCAGTCTCCGCAGTCACTGCACAGTAAGAAGGAAAGGGTCGTTAAAGAGGCACGAAAGAACGAAAATATTTTTTTGGGTATGCATAGTATGCACACGAGACAGAACTGCAACACAGTTTAGCAAGTGTCATTGTACGGTAGAATCAGGAACCAGTATTCAATTCAACAGCATACCACTCAAAGATAAACTTAAGAAGACTGAACGCAGGGCGAGTTGGTAATCCATAACTATAAAAACTGCGCGAAAAAGGGACAAGAAACACACTTCTGTGTGTGCCTTCTCTGTTTCTTGTCTATTTTTCGCACAGTTTTTGTAGGTATTACAGTGAAATCTCGGTAGAATGAACCTCACATTAACGAACTTTTCAGATTAACAAACTTTTAGAAAATCCCACGTCGACTGCTAATAGTTTCAATGTAAAATTATTTCACTACTACGTACTTCAGAATATATTAACGCCTCAGTACTGTGAACTTGTGTTCTGAAATTCGTCGCGACCACCGGAGCGGTAACGCCTTGCTTCTGGGAAGACACATGACGATGTGGAGGTAAAGAAAAACGAAAAGGCCACTTTCTTTTTTTTTTCTTTTTGTTGAAACACCAACACTGCAGGTTTACAAGCGAGCGCAGAGGCGAGGGCAACACGGGAGGGCAAGGTCAGCGAGGCAGAGCGAGAGTTGGGGAGCAGGAAGCATGGGCGCGGAAAACCTGAGACAGCGAGGGAGCAGAAAACAAAACGCAAAGAATTTTCTTTTTAGCACTTTTTTTTTTTTCTGCGAAAGAGGCGATGACAGCCGTGACGCTTCGGGTTTTTCTTTGGAGGCCTTGTTTTTTCAGTCGTGTTCATCTCTTTTCAGTGATTACTTGTCGCGTCCGCAAAGCAAGTCCGCGTTCGCGCTGCGGTGATACTACAAATGAGTTCATCTTTGCTTGCGATGAAAAAGCGGAAGCAGTTTTCGCAAAGCGAGACAATGAATATTCTTCTGCAACTGGAAGGCATAAAGCAGGCTGTACTGACTAAAAAACTGAATTGCACCAGAGGAATGTGGATGAGCTGGGGACCTTCGCGCTGCAAAGTTGGTGCTGCTCGCGTAAAAAAAACAAACAAACACAGACTTCTTTAAACATGCATTTTTTGGTGTTGTGCATTTGTTGTTGTTTTTTCTCGTGAAAAATGAGGACCCACCGTTGTAAAAGTAAGTCGTTTTGGTCGGTGAAAAATAAGTATCTATGGTTAATTCTTGAGCTTTCACTATAATGACCTTTCAAAATAACGAACGAATTTTTGCAGTCCCCTGAAGTTCGTTATACCAAGACTTCACTGTAGTAAAGTACAATTTCCCAATCCTTAAAAACACCACTGCTGTAAAGACATGACACTTGGTAAAAGAGAAAACATGCGAGGAGAACAGGCGGGTGGAGACACCACCTTGAGATTCCCGCACCTAACACCATGATGTCGAGATTTTGAAGGCATCTAGGGGGTTTTATGTAGCTTCTAATTGATAAACATGAAGTATATTGTTATCTGTGAGTGCCACAGACCTAGCATAGGAAGTCTTAGAAAATTTCATTGAGCCAATGTTGCGAAAATCCAAAAGTGCATTTTGAAATTTTTGACGTCACACATGGAGATTATGATATGAAGTTCTAACCTTGATTTTCTCCACTAATTATGAACTTATGATAAAGAAACATATGGCATTGTAGTTCTACGAGTGCAGTGTTCGTCAATCTCTACCAAGTCACTGCTTATCTGTAGTACTATCCCTATAAGACGCAGTACATTAGGCAATGACAGCTTCAAACTTGTTGCCATGCTCACCTATTCTAGACGTGGGGTTTCATGTGCAATGCTGCATTCTGTAGGCATCCAAAACACAACAAGGAACAGTCACTGTCTCCAGGGCACCTAGGCTACATGTCATTTGTTTCAATGTGGCCTGGTGCTTTCTTATGATTTTGATTACGTCTTAACTTTTTAGTTTCGAGTTCATAAGGGTTAACTAAATGTTACTAAGCAAAAAAAAGGAGCTAGATAAAGGGGCTTGTGCTGCACTTTGATGCACAGTATGCACACGAGACAGAACTGCAACACAGTTTAGCAAATGTCATTGTACCGTAGGAACTAATACTCATTTCAACAGCATAGCACTCAAAGATAAACTGGGCCTTGTTGGTGCTAGTAGTTCATTATGAAGGAAGGCTGAAAAGAGACAAGGATAAGGTAGATGTGACACAGGCGCTGAAGTGCAGCTAAAATTTATTGAAAGGCACAAGCCCAGACACACACACACATATACAGCAGCCAACCTAGTCACGTAATGCACCATAGCTTCTGCACATGGCTGTACACAAAATAAATGCTTTAACACGGCAGCGTTAAAGTGTTTACTTTGTGGACAGTCTTTTTTTTTTTTTAGCTAGTATATGGTTCATTATTTTTATATGATATCCTTACACACATCACTTCGTCATGATTACTTATTTTTGTAGATCCTGATTGCATTGCTGCGCAGATGACATGGCATGTTACGTGACTAGGTCAGCTGCTGTAAATGTGAGTGTGTGCTTTCTTGCGCTTCCAATTTAGCTGCAATTCAGTGCCCGTGTCTTGTCTTACCTGGTCCTTGCCCTTTTTAGCACTGTTGTTCTTTCATAATGAAAAGCAAAGCACTCGTTCAGTGTAATCAATCGTAATTCCATTCACATTATGAATTTAGCCTTGATTATTCTCCTCCATAATACAAAACTGCCCATTATGCTGAAATTCGCTGCTCTTACGTGTTGTTGTGTCAGTACAGTCGAGCCCACTTATAATGAACCTGCGCATGACGCGGCATCCGTTCGCTGTATCCCGAAGTTCGTAGTAAATGAAACACAGCTTTTAAAGAAAGTTGCGAGTGAAAACACAAACTTTTTTTGCCCCAAAAAGTCTGTGATGCACGTGTTTCGAAGAGCAGAAGCGATAAGGGCGGTTTTGAGTTCATTTAAAATGGCAGGCTGCTCGTTCGCCGAGCCCTGTGGCATAAGGTGCATGAGGCACTGGCTCCAAAGCTTCGTGGTTCTCGCAATCCAATTCTTCCAAATCGCTCTCACCGTGTATTTCATTCACAATGCCTCAATCCATGCACAGTTCCGCAGTGTCGGCATCATCATCGGCTGTAATTAAATCATTGCAACAGATGTGCCACCCACTCTCCAAGGTCAGTCGACGACACACTGCCACGAATCGCCACCGCAGTGGTCCTGTTCGGAAACTTCAGGCTTGGCATCGGGCCCGACGTCGATGAAATCGGCCTCGCGAAAACAGTTTCGCGCATATGTAGCCGTCACCGCCGCCCACCCAAGCGGTCACACTTTCAACGTTTTGTTGAGCGGCACGAAAAAGTGCGTTAGTCCTCCCGTCGGCCATCATGACCATGCACGCACACCAAGCGCGAGCAAGACGCGCACACGCGACGCATGTGCCAGAACGAGTGGAACAGCTCTGGGCGCATTTCCAGTCAGGAAATGAAACTAATTCAAGCCAGCGTGGCGGGTGTCGCGGAGCGGTGGAGATGGGCGAAGGGTTGTGATCAAGAGAGGAGAGCAGACTTGCGAGAGAAGAGAGAGTTAGGATAAAGAGAGGGGAGGATGCGGCGAAAGGGCGACCTTGAAAACCAACACACACGAGAAGGAGGCAGGTTGGGTAGCTTGCATGAAAGGGCCGCAAAACTCGCACGTAGAAAAACTTGCAATGATTGCCTGGGTGCGCAGAAGTCAAAGCATGGCCGCCTGGATCGTTGCACGCGGCGATGTTCGAAGAATAGGCGGCCGTGGTAAAAAAAATCCTTTTGTTGCGCTGGCGGGTTTGCGTGGCCTCACGAACTTAGATATTTCGTGATTCATTCCGCACAAATTAACAGCCGTTTTCGCACTTCCACATGCGCGCGAAAGGCATGCTGAGCCGAGTGCGAAGTGAGCGAGAACAAGTTCAAAACACGAAACGAATCACAAATTATCAAAGTTGGTGAGATACCGTACGCGCATGCACTAGACACAGACTATCGAATACAGTTGGTGGCCGGCAACATTGGCAAATGGTCTGGTCACTCCAGGTTGGCGACGCCAACGACAGTACCAGCGAACAAAAACAGGGTAGATGGCCGACCGGTCTTCGAAAGATCGGCGGCAGTGTGAAAACACGGGCCTCGTCTGGCGATTCGGGGTGCTCATAGTAGCGGGGGGACAAAGGACGGAGAGGTGCCAATCAAGATGGACCTCAAACTTTCACAGTGCAAACACGATAACGAGGCCCATCAAATTTCGGCCCATCAAGATAGACCTCAAACTTTCCCAGTGCAAACACGATGGCGAGGCACTCCTTTTTGGTCACAAAATAATTTTTCTCCACAGAGACCAAGGAGCGGCTCGCTAAGGCCAACGGCTGCAACACGCCATCGTATTCCTGCAGGAGAACAGCTCCTAAACCCAGATCGCTCACATCGGTTTGTACAACGAACGGTCTGGTCAGGTCGGGGAGCTTGAGTTGCGCTATCTCCGCTATGGCGTTAGACAGTCGGCAAAACGCCTGCTGCTGCTCAAGTCCCCATTGCCACTCAGCAGACTTACCCCAAGAGCTTGCTCAAGGGTGTCTGCAGTCGGGCACAGGACGGAATGAAGGAACGGTAAAAGTTGACCATTCCTAAATAGCGGCGAAGGCCACGTACGTCCTTTGGCACGAAAAAATCTAGGATAGCTCAAAGTTTCTCCCGATCCGGCTCTATGGAGCCAGATCGGGAGAAAGTGTGAAAACACGGGCCTTGTCTGGCGATTCGGGGCGCTCAGAGTAGCGGGGAAACAAAGGATGGAGGGATGCATAACAAAAAGCAGTTGGGGGAGTGCAGCAACTAGAGGGGCGTGGAGGTAGAATCAGCGTTTAACAATAAGAATGTATGGGCACCTCGCCAATGCCTGATCGGTGGTTAAAATTGGTTTCCGGGGAAGTCAACAGACTGCCGACTCCGTTCACT